GATCCCTTAGAAGTCAGTGGCACAACTTCCGTTGACTTGAGCAGGATCAGTTGTTCGCCTGAAGTATTGTATGCATGACGCTATATGTTGCAATGTTGGCAAAGGATTTAGAACAATTAGTGTCTGTTGTTTTTTTTAATAGCCTATGAGTTCTGTGATGAAGGTGGGTAATGGAAAGAATAAGCAGCTTTCTTTGAGATAGCTCTCAGGAAACTCCTAGAAGTTCCTGTTCTCAGGAACTGCATAAGACCCTGGGGAAATTTTGGCATGTGTTTTGCTTCTAAAATGCTGGAATACAGAAAAGTGGTTAAGAAACAAAAGCCATACTACAGAGGTTAGCACAAAAAAAAAAATCACTATTTGTCTGAGCTTCCGTAGCTGAAAACTGCAATAAGCTCACATCATTCTAGCTATTGGAGTCTACATTGAATGAAGCTATTCCAACTACCCACAATAACCACTTTGAACTGTCTTGCAGCTTTAACCATTTTGAGTATGAATCTGGGAAGGAGAAGCATTGCATTTTGCTGTGTTTACTGTAATGGTTACAGCTTTATTCAGTAGATTTCTATTGGTTCTTGATGTGTTACTCCATTGTTAGTTATTTGTATTGTAAAAGCACAGAATCAGGAATTAGGACCCCATTGTTCCAGGCACTATACACACACACAAAAAAAGAAATTGTTCCTGCCCCCAAAAGCTTACTATAAGATTCATTTCACATTATTAATATTTTCTCTTTAGCAATAGGCTACAGCTTAAGTGATGTAGAAAAGAATGTAAATTAAAGACCTGTTCACAATGGAGCACCAAACCATGCTGGCTACCACTGTAATCAAAAACTATTAAGCATGGTTCTGCTGGAGTGGTGCTGCAGTACGGACAGGACACTATGCCAAGTGGTGAGATGAAATACTCAAGTCTACTTCTCTTCCTTGAAATCAGGATTAATTGACATGTTCTAAAAATGATTCTCAAACTAGAGCTAAGCAAACTATTCACAGTAAAATGTTAGTTCAACAAATTTAGCCCATCTTTGTGTTTGCTAATTGTCTGCAAACAGAGTTTGCCTTGCTAGTTATTTGAAAAAGATTTGCTGAATGGCATTTTGAGCATACTTCCCACCCATGGATTGCTCGCAAACCATTTGCTACTTTAAGTATTCCCTATTCATAATTTCCTGTTTGTGCTGTGTGCAGGGCCAGCGCAACCCATTAGGCGACCTAGGCGGTCGCCTAGGGCGCTACAATTTGGGGGGGGCGACTGCGGCGGTATTTCAGCAGCAGGACCTTCCGCCGCCTCTGTGGGGGGTGGCATTTCGGGGCTGGACCTTCCGCCGCCTAGGGCGGCAGAAAAGCTGGCAGCACTCCTGGCTGTGTGACTGGCCACCTAAACAGATGGCACTGTTTCTGCTCCCTGAATGGGTGACTCCCATTCCAAGCCCTTTCAAAATGGCCTCAAAAACACTCCTTTGAAGATACTTGTGGAAAACACATATTTGTAGGGTTTTTTATGACTCCTCTTTCTGTGAATTGTTTTGCAAAAAACCCGCACCCCCCATACACAAACATCAAACACCAATTGTTCATTTAAATGTTGGTAACAAGTAAATACCGTAAATGGAATTGTAATTAAAATAAAAGTATATTCCCTTACAGGATAATTAATGTTCACAAATACTTTTCCACAGTATTCAGGGGTCTAATAATAACATGTGTTGTAACTGGGTTAAGTATAGATCCAAGTCATGTTCTTTCTGCTGGGCATTACAAATCTATGAAAATAGTTTACCACATTATAACAAGCTCTAATGGATCAGGCCTAAGGTAGCTGGCAGGCATCAGCAGACCAACACTGACAATGCACTAGCCGAACAACTTGGAACCAATCAAGTGGTGAAAAGAGAACCAGTAACTGAAAGCAGGGAGCTGATTTATTAATTTGATTTAAAAGATTGTCAGATTAAAAATCACATTTTTAAGAAGAAAAGTTCCTTACTTGCGCTGTTAATAAATTAGATTCTTAAAATGGACACAAATTTAAAAATCTAACAATTTTCACAAATTTTTCTTGTTTTATTATGTTTTCCATTGAATTCAGATTTAAATGAACCATGGAAACAGCTGTCAGGAAAGTTTCCCTTTGTCCTATTGCCCATCTGTAGTCAGGTTCACTTTGTAGTTTGTGGTCCAGTGGAGTAGAGTTTGAGTTTCAGACCATACAGGGGAATGTTGAAATTCAAATTAAGACCACTTTTTTTGTGTTCAAGAAACATTTATAACAACTGTGACAGACCCAGACCAGTGGGGTACAGGAGTCTGGTAGAGGGCAAATATACTGGTCACTGGATGAGTAGTTTTCTGTTCCCTGAGTGACCAGAGCAGGGGCTGCACTAGAGTAATCAGGAACCTGCTAGAACCAGTTAAGGCAGGCAGGCTAATTAGGACACCTGGAGCCAATTAAGAAGCTGCTAGAATCAATTAAGGCAGGCTAATCAGGGCACCTGGGTTTTAAAAAGGAGCTCACTTCAGTTTGTGGTGCGAGTGTGAGGAGCTGGGAGCAAGAGGTGCAAGAAGCTGAGAGCGAGAGGGTGTGTTGCTGGAGGACTGAGGAGCACAAGCGCTATCAGACACCAGGAGGAAGGTCCTGTAGTGAGAATAAGGAAGATGTTTGGAGGAGACCATGGGGAAGTAGCCCAGGGAGTTGTAGCTGTCATGCAGCTGTTACAGGAGGCACTATAGACAGCTGCAGTCCACAGGGCCCTGGGCTGGAACCCGGAGTAGAGGGTGGGCCCGGGTTCCCCCCAAACCTCCCAATTGACCTGGACTGTGGGTTCTTCCAGAGGGGAAGGTCTCTGGGCTGTTCCTCAACCCACATGGTGAATCTCTGAGGCAGGAAAATCCGCCAATAAGCGCAGGACCCACCAAGATAGAGGAGGAACTTTGTCACACAACACACAAAAACCTTATATTTTAGCTATGATTTACTTGACAGAATCTCTTTAATCTTAGCTTCTAGATTCGAAGGTGAATTTTACAATTTAGTATTTTAGAAACACCAGTGCTTTTGTAATGCACATAAAGGTGATATGCAAGGAGGAAAAATTGGGCTTGTGCCCTTTTTAGCTGCTCTAAGATATATCCGGTTAAAAGGTGTGCCTGCCCTGTAGCACCACCTGCTTGCCAAGAATGGCTCTGCTGACCCCTGCCTCTGTTTCCCCTTCATGCAGGATCCATTTAAAAATCCACACAATCCAGATATTCAAAACATTCCCTTTCTGGGGTGTAATTTATTAAGTCCTGCACAAAGTCTTTCAAAATAGAACTCAACCCTACAGTTTTCATCCCAGTTTCAGCCTCCTTCTTGAGGGTCTGCCTCTCCTTAAAAGTGATTTATCTTGCCTCAGTCCCAAGCTGGGCACAGCCCTTCCTCCCTGAGGGTCTGTCTTCCTGCTCTCCCAGCACCTCTTGCCTGGATTTGGGCTTCTCCGCAGGCCTTCCCCACTGGTATTTCTCCCCCTTGCTGATGCAGAGCCCTCCAGGAGTCTTCTAACTCCCTACAGTGCTTCTCGGCATCTGCCTACCACTACCACCTGCAGCTGTCTCCCCCTTTGTAAAAGAGAAGGTTACTCACCTTGTGCAGTAACTGAGATTCTTCGAGATGTGTGTCCCTGTGGGTGCTCCACTTCAGGTGTCGGTGCGTCCCAGCGCCGGTGATCAGGGATTTTCGGTAGCAGTGCCTGGTCGGGACGCGCGTGTGCAGTAGCTGACTCGTGGTGCCATTGGCGATTCAACTAGTGCCCGTGAGTCCCACACCCCTCAGTTCCTTCTCAACCTACCACCGTTAGGGTTTTGGTAAAGATTCATGGAACCGTCGATAGTCCGAATGGCAGTACTCTGTATTGGAAGTGATCTTGTTCCACTGTGAATCGTTAGCCACTGCTATTGAAAATCTCCGATCAGTAGCGCCAGGATGCACCGACACCTGAAGTGGAGCATGGACAGGGACAGCACTCAAAGAAGAACCTAGGTGCCTTCCCTTAAGCCCAACTGGGCAGCAGGTAATCAGTCCAAGTGAAATGGACCCCATTCCCTCTTAAAGGGGCAGTCATCCTTTGATATGTCCCTATCCCTCCAGTGGGGCACAGGCCATCTCCCCAAATATCTGCCCACCAGAGAAGCCTCCAGGTTTCTTCACATTTGTCTTCCTGCTGCAAGTAGCGCAATTTTGAGGTTTCTCCTCCATAGCAATTCCTCTCTCCATCTCTTCTCTGTGTCCCCACCACTCTCCTCAGCTCAGTAACTGAGATCTGGTATGGGAGGGAGAACTGCCACTACCCACCCCATCACTCACCGGTGACCTTTAATTCTTCCAGCTAGATTTTTCTTATGTATATGACTGCCAGATTACAGCCTCTTATCCTCACACATGGAAAGTCTAGCTGAAACACAACCAAAGCTGACAGATAACTAAGGAGTAATGGTCTCAAGTTGCAGTGGGGGAGGTTTAGGTTGGATATTAGGAAAAACTTTTTCACTAGGAGGGTGGTGAAGCACTGGAATGAGTTACCTAGGGAGGTGGTGGAATCTCCTTCCTTAGAGGTTTTTAAGGTCAGGCTTGACAAAGCCCTGGCTGGGATGATTTAGTTGGGGATTGGTCCTGCTTTGAGCAGGGGGTTGGACTAGATCACCTCCTGAGATCCCTTCCAACCCTGATAGTCTATGATTCTGTAATTTAAAATTACAAAACAGATTTGTCAAAAACTGGACATGTTTGCTGAGGATTTATTTCCCTCCAACTTTGTTCAATTAAAAAAAAAAAGATTTTTATTTTTAAAGAAGGCAAACTTAGTTAGATGAAGCTATGCTTAGAGGAAAGATCTGAATGGTGCTGTGAGGGCCAAACTTAATAGAATGGGAATTTAAATATGACCAGAGAAAGTCACCACTGCAGAAAACAAACAAAAACATTTAATATTCTGACTAAGTTGTTGTACTTACCTGCATATCCTCCAGCTTGCTTTCCAAAGACTTTTTCACCAACAGCAGTTCCTTTCCCTCTTCCCCAGCATGTGCCAGGACATCTTCTAATTGTTGCTTTTCTTTCTACAATACAAAAGTTTGATAGATTCAGGAATGCTGATGTTGCTTTCTCTCTAATCTGCCTTCAGAAGATCCGCAAGCATAAACATAAAACTGCAAACACTTAAAAACATTTTCACTGGCTTCCTCTTGCCTTCCACATCAAGCTCCTCTTCCACACCTCCAGGACTCCACATTGCACTGCTCCCTGCCTACAACCTCCCATTTCCTCTTAAACTCACTCAGGCACATCACCAATGTGCCCATCTCCTACTCTTCAGTGTTATTTTCATACTGTCACATCAGCTGAAGCAGCCTCCCTGTACCTGTAGAAGAAGCTCCAGCCTGCTCTCTCCTTCAAGCCCACTGATTTTGCACAGGTATTACTGCACCAACAATGACTTTGCTTGCCTTCATCTCATCTTTCATCTTTTATTTTTGTGCACTGTACCCATCCAATCATGAACGGGAAGAAAACCACACTAGTTACATGTCTGGTTTTGTACCTTACCTCATATCTCTCTATTTTTTCCTTCATTGTATCTTCTTCTCCTTTCATATTATCAATCTGTTGATGGAGTTCTTTAATTTTGTCCTCTAGCTCTTTAATTGTTCTCTTCAATTGTTCATTTTGCTCAGCCAACTCCTTCACTCGATTTTCTGCACTACTTTGCATCTGTTCTGCAGTGTTTTTTTCACTGGCAAGGGCAGCAGCATTCTAGTAAAAAGGAGAACAAACAGTGACACACACAACCTCCATTTTTAAAGACAGTGTAAAAATATGCAATTTGTTTCCAAAACAGGTCTCAGTCCATGTAATCCTGGATGAAAATTTTAAAGATGGAAATATTTTCTGATTCATATAGATAAAGGAACACTGTCAACTGGAGTTTTTGGCATTTTGGAGCAAAATCCATATTAGAGTTAAAAGTAAATTAGTTGTACCCTCAGAAAATACACATGCAACCTATGCTCTCGGAAAACTTGCTTTTGAGCAAGTTTTGATTCAGAGAAGCACAGTTGCCTGTTTTATGACCATAAACTCCATTTTGAGAACCTCAGCATTCTGAGCGAGCCCAAACTCCCATCCATCTGTGACCTATAACAAGCCAGTTTGCATCCAGATCCCTAGAGCTGAAAGAGTAATAACTCTTCTCCCACAACTAAATTCTGAAACCAAAGATACCATCCATACAAAACTGTGGATGTGTCAACCTGGAATATTCTATGAAAGGTCAGATTTGTGTGGGCCACAAAGGTGCATTTGTATTACTCGCAGATCCATGAACCACAATACCCAAAGTTACCAGCTATGTAGGTAAGAGAGTCCTCTTTTTGAAGGCATTATTACACTTTCAAATAATATCTATTATATTTCAGCAGCCTTTTGTCTGTCATCTCATATTCTTACTTCAATATGTCCCATTTTAAGCCCCTAGGTAAGTGTAATCTCATGCTTAAATATTTTTTAAAGTTACCATAAAAAAAACCTAATAGATCTCAAGAGCAATGTGAGCCCTTGAGGAGTAAGTTTCTGTGTATTCAGGAGGAGTTTTAATCTGTTTAGCTATAAGTGAGTTGCTGTAGGTTATATGTTTTACTGGTTAGGGCAGTGGTGTTGGGAATTTAGCTGCTGGGGGTTTCTTTTATTAACATATGTCAGGGTGCTTAATGTTTTCAAAAGGATGCTTTTTGTATATTTGCTTAGAAACAAAAAAATCCAATGCATTAAAGACAAAATTATAATAAAACTACATCCAATGTTTTCTCGCATGACATGGTATTATACTGTGCATTCATCGTTTTTTTGGCAATGAGCTTGGTTGCAGCATTTGAATCTTTGCTTTGTATAGATCATATGACTTGTATAATATTTATCCTACTGTTTATATATGGCTATGCAATGAATTTGTTACAGTTCAGAATCTATAAACAGAAAGCTTACTTTAATACTATTTTGAAAACATGAACAGAGTTTAAAAGTAAATTAAATAAAGCTAACCTTGTGCAACGGATAAAGAATTGGGGTTCATTAACATTCAAAATTAAACCCAAGTTAACAAAAGAACAGAGAGTCAGAGACATAAGCCTACCGGTAGAGAGAAGAAACTAGTGTATTGAGGAGTCATGGAAATGGCAATGAGAAGGAGGAGATGGTGAGGAATGGTGTCATTGTTATCATTATATGTGGTGTGGCAGGTTGTGGAATGGAAGAATCATGTGACAGAACAATCCCGAAAAGAGTTGACTCAAGTGAGCTTAACCATGTATGCAGCATACACATTTTTAAACACTTCAACTCATGGGGTGACCCCCTAAGTTGACCAGATCTTTGGCCCTTTGCTTATGTTTCATTCAAAACTTCCACCAGGAACGTAAGACTGCTCTGTGATAAAAGGTTTGGTTCTTGATCCAGGGCCGGCTCTGGCTTTTTTGCCGCCCCAGGCAAAAAAGCCTCCGGGGGGAGGGCGCCAGGTGGGAGGGCGGCCGGAGCCCTGGGAGGAGGGCGGCGAGCCCCGGCGGGGGCTCCG